TCCAAGAACAGTGAAAAGCTATATCTATATCTCAGGGCACAGTCCTGGCACCAGTGTACCCCAGGGCACAGTCCTAGCACCACTGTACTCCAGGGCACAATCCTAGCACCACTGTACCCCAGGGCACAATCCTAGCACCACTGTACCCCAGGGCACAGTCCTAGCGCCACTGTACCCCAGGGCACAGTCCTGGCACCACTGTACCCCAGGGCACAGTCCTGGCACCACTGTACCCCAGGGCACAATCCTAGCACCACTGTACCCCAGGGCACAATCCTGGCACCACTGTACCCCAGGGCATAATCCTAGCGCCACTGTACCCCAGGGCATAATCCTAGCGCCACTGTACCCCAGGGCACAATCCTAGCACCACTGTACCCAAGGGCACAGTCCTGGCACCAGTGTACCCCAGGGCACAATCCTGGCACCACTGTACCCCAGGGCATAATCCTAGCGCCACTGTACCCCAGGGCATAATCCTAGCGCCACTGTACCCCAGGGCACAGTCCTGGCACCAGTGTACCCCATGGCACAGTCCTAGCACCACTGTACCCCAGGGCACAATCCTAGCACCACTGTACCCCAGGGCACAGTCCTAGCACCACTGTACCCCAGGGCACAATCCTGGCACCAGTGTACCCCAGGGCACAATCCTAGCACCACTGTACCCCAGGGCACAGTCCTAGCACCACTGTACCCCAGGGCACAATCCTAGCACCACTGTACCCCAGGGCACAGTCCTAGCGCCACTGTACCCCAGGGCACAGTCCTGGCACCACTGTACCCCAGGGCACAGTCCTGGCACCACTGTATCCCAGGGCACAATCCTAGTACCACTTTACCCCAGGGCACAGTCCTGGCACCACTCTACCCCAGGGCACAGTCCTGGCACCACTCTACCCCAGGGCACAGTCCTAGCACCACTGTACCCCAAGGCACAGTCCTGGCACCACTGTACCCCAGGGCACAATCCTAGCACCACTCTACCCCAGGGCACAGTCCTGGCACCACTCTACCCCAGGGCAAAAGTATAGACAAAAATATAGTATACAGCTTAGTATCATTCTATGCGGACGTCACAGAAATCAGTATGACAGTTACTTCAGTAGAAGACACAGAATACTACCAGCCGATATCAGTAAAGTCTTTGATTGGGTTATAGAAAAATACGAGATGTTAAGTGCGATAAATTCCAAATAATTAGGTATGATGAAAATTAAAAAATGAAATGAAATACAGAGTACTGTACAAGACACAGTATTTAATTTCTTTGAGATCTGATCTCAAATGACTACTTTCTTTTGAGATAGTTTTAAGATACATCAGCTCTCAAAGATGGAAAACAGCATGTAAAGTGAGCTTGACACAGCGAATATAGCACAAGTAAGAAAAAAAGGATGAATTGTGATGGCTCATATTCATTGAATCCACTACAATGTTGATACTATTCAGATCACTTGAGAGTACCGCTTCAAGTACCACTTGGTACTCACTTGCACTATGTAGTACGCATACACACAATGCAGCACCCAAATAATCGCCACCGCCAAAGCTCACGAAAGGTATTCTGTAGACAATGGCCTGTTACCTAGCAGTAAATTAGGTACCTGGGTGTTAGTCAGCTGTCACGGGCTGCTTCCTGGGGGTGGAGGCCTGGTCAAGGACCGGGCCGCGGGGACACTAAAAGCCCCGAAATCATCTCAAGATAACCTCAAGATAGACAGCAGACGAGGGAGAGCGGGGGGGGGGGGGTATCGCACAGTAAGGAGATGCAAGACACTGGAAGACCAGGTCCCAATTATGCACAGTAAAATAAGAGCCCAAGGTACGGGAGGGGCAGCAGAACAGACCCGGGGAGGAGTTGAGGTGCAGTAAGAACACTTTGAGAACACGCGATGAACAGCCGTACAGGTCAACCACTGTTCAGTATCCTCTCGGTGAACATACGAAATATTACCGGTACGAAAGTGGACATGTTCAATCGGAAAATTTTACTGGTTCCTGTGGAAAGTGCCTGATCAACCGGGCTGTGGTGGATATGTGGGCCTGCGGGCCGCTCCAAGCAACAAGCCTGTTGGACCAAGCTCTCACAAGTCACGTCTGGCCTGGGGCCGGGCTTGGGAGGGTAGAAGAACTCCAGAACCCTGTGCAGGTGTACTCCCTGTATACCTATTGTCCAGTAGGTGGATGGTGGAGAACCGTCAGTGTCCACCACTAGTGAAAGCAACACTGGCCTGCCTGGTGGTCACCTGACCCTACAGAGAGCAACAGGCAAGCAACAACGTATCAGTGTGTGACAAAGGTGCGTGTGTTAAAAAGGTGCAAAGGTACTTTATTTACAGCGCAAGAGAGGCAACAAGGCTGGCAGGAGACTGGGAAGGACCTTGTGCTTACCTATCAGTGTGTCTAGCCTTACCTAATTGTAGTTAAGTAAGCACACCACCACAGCTACGTCCACCGATGCTTCCCTCCCCTCTTCCCCCGCCCCCTTCCCCCCTCC